CCTCCTGGGGTTACTAACAGGCCTATTTATAACCCCAGGAGTAAACCTAGGCACAATATGTAATTACAACATTACCCCTGTACCAAACCGCGGGGCTTTGCCCCCGCACCCCAACCCACGTAACTTCTCAATTTGGACAGATTCTTCCGCTCCGCTCTGCTCCGCTTCAATCCAGCGTCTGTCCCGATATGATATATGAGTCATATCATAACAGTGCCTCATTCTTGTTCTTTGCTCTCTTCACTTCTTGTTACTTTCGGTTTTTTTGCTTTTCCATTATGTGCTTTGCTCCAATGGCTTTGAAATATGCTCCAAAGAATTTTTGGTAGGTCATTGTGCCCAAACAGTTGATCCTGACATCAGCAAGGCAACCTGGTTGGAGGATACTCGTGTCTTTGATTCTGCTATCAAGCTCCATATCGTAGGAAGAATCAAACAGGCGATCGACTTGTTCTGGAATGATCTCATTTTTAACTGAGACCAGCTCAAAAAGAGTTTGAGGCTACCATTTTTCCATGAACTGTAAGCAATCTCAATCTTTATGGGGACATCCCCGCCTAGATTATGCCAAATTCCATCGTTGCCAACATGTCGTAGTCATTTTCTGACGTCAGGTCGGGGTGCCATGGTCGACAGAACTCTTCACTTACATGTTCTCTTTACAGGTTGGCCCAGAGAGCTACGAACAGTTTTCATCAGTTGGCATGTTTCAATTTTTGGGCGTGGAAAAGAAGATAAAAATTTGAAGCTGTGCTTTTTTCCTCGATTCTTTTTCCTCGGTTAGGGCATCCATACCATCCCAACATGGAACATGGTCGAGAAGAATACAACTATGTCAGATCATATTCAAAATGAGAGAGCAGAGATTGAAGGAAGGGGATGTTCATCATCTAGTACATTAACACGATGATTGTTAATTAGGGGCTACAGGTAAGAAAAAACGACTTGATGACAATGGAGCTTTGGTTGGCTTTTGATATCGAAAAAGCTTAGCGATAGGAGTAGACTGCTACTCAGGCCGCCGAGAAAAGAACTCGAGCAAAGTCCATTAGCCCCGCAGCTGCAGTGATGGCTAGTAAAAAGGTGCTGGTGGTGGCTCGCACCAGAGAGGACACAGAAGGTGCGAACTTTATTTATTCCATTTTTTATTCTTCCGTTCTAATTCAAAGAATCGCCATTAGCAAATTAATTCTTATCAAGAGGAAAACTAAGGGTTATTCTTCAGGTGCAAGTCCCTCTGGCATACCACACCAAGATGATGAATTAATGCCAAGCTGATTGGACGAGAGTGGCGCCGAGGTAGAGCAAAGGTAAGAAAGACCGGTAGCTCGACCAATATCAGTTCGACCGGCTGCTAAAATTTTCATTATGCTTTTGGCAAATGCCAAAGCTACTTGGCCTTCTTTGATTGCGCCGTTTGTGTCTAAGCCCAAGCTGGAGCCCGAACCTAAACCCAAACTGAACATTCGTAAAAAAAAATGTGTTGTTTAAAGGGGGAAGACTCCCGTTACCTGCTTAAGGACCTCACTTTCTCTTCACATCCTCCACCTCCCGGGAAGAAACATAAGTGTTTTGCGCTTGCGTGGCTTCCTATGCAAAGGGAGAGGGCGAAGGTGCTCACAAGCTTTGACGAGTGGTTCAACTTGTTCAACATTAGGAGGGCATGTTATTTAGATTGCTTTCACCACAGCTATGCATGTCTTGACGATAGGAGACATTCCTCGGCCTCGCAATTTTGAGGAGTATTTTCTTGAGCACAGCCTCTTGGGTCTATGCTAGGCAGTCGTCTGGTACCATTTATTGGTCTTGAATGCCTCACAATTTTCAGTCGACACTTCTCTTAAAGTTGGAGCATAAATTGTACAATGCTGAGAAAATGTTGAAAGTTGCGGAGGAGCGGGCTCGGGCTGCTGAGGAGTGAGCGGTTGCAGCCAAGCAGAGGGTGGAGGAGTTCAAAGCTAAAAAACTCAGTTTGTCGGGGTTGTCAGTTTCCCAATAAAAACAATCAAGCTTTGCATGAGCATAGATAGGAAGAGAATCTGCTTAAAGAAATATGATAGAAAAGGAGAATTTCTGGTTGTACGGACCATCCAAGGAACACGGATTTCATATGGAAATGAAGGCCTCCGGCCAAGGTGGAGGTGAAAGAGGGCTTCTCACCCAAGCGAGAGCATAAAAAGGAAAATTAACAAAGGTGGAGCAAATGAAGACACAAGTAGCAAGATAAGACACAAACTGTGGAAAGCCCCATATTTCGAAAAAAAAATATTACTTGAGTATTTGTAGAGCTACCTTTGGATTGCAATAATCGCCGTATTATAGAAATATCCCGTTGTGCTATAGGAATATTCTATCAATGTTATTTGTGGAAAATGAAGTGTTATTGAAATATTCTCCCGCGTTACTTAATTTAGGGTTGTGTTATTCTAAAAATATAGTGAAAATTGAAATAACACGGGGAATATGTCGAATAACATAGCCCCAAATCAAGTAATGCTGGGAATATTCCAATAACACCGCAAAGTAATTAAATAACACCATATAATACTCAAATAACACTTTATTTTTTTAGAAATAACGCTGATGAAATATTCCTGTAACACAACGGGATATTCCTATAACACAATAACTATTTGAATTTGAATGTACCTCTACGTTCGGAGTTCTGATGTAATATGTGCTCCCATATTTCGCCTACTTAGATACATTTTTTGTTCCTCAAGGGGCAAAATCAACGTTCTTTTTTAGGAGAGACGAACTTATTATAAGAAAATAAATTATTTGTAGTTTCATATGAAACTCACAAAAATTACAAAAAATTTATTTAAAAAACTAACAAATAATTTTTTACAAGACAATTAATAAATAAATCAACATATTCAAACTAACTATAATCTTACCTCCTATTTTTAAAAATAATTTTTAGCTCAAATCTAACAAATAAAAGAGATCTTTTAATAAAAATATATATTAGAAGTATGTAAAATTATATTTTTTAATAAAGAGCGTTTACATAAATACCACAAGATTTTTATGTATTTATATATTTGACATATAAATTTTACTTTCTATATTTATGCTACCTAAATCTTTTATAACACATAATAAATACTAGTATTTTAGTTTTTGTTATACCATTATTTTAACTTTAAAAAAAGTGAAATATACTTTTTAATGCATGGTGAGGATGGTATGAATGTAAAAATTGAAGTTAAGATGTTAGATTGGTAAATACATAGGAATCAAATGGTACATATGTAAATTTCTGTAAAATAAAACAACAAGACACAGAAAGAGTTTTCGGTGGTCCCGAGCGAAGCTATCACAATTATTTTCTTTACATATGAAAAGGTTTAGTCCCACTTTAGAATTTAACATTCTTTTCTTCCTCCTTAAATGAAAAGGCATAGGAACTAAAGCCAATTTTTTTTGTCCCAATTATGTGAATATTTTTTTGAAGGCTGTTTCACGTTTGGTATTTATTTAAATAAAAACTTTAATGTTAAACTAATTTGCTTTATCTTGATTTTTATGAAGTAGCATTATACAAATTCAATCAATAGGACCATTTATAAAATCTTAATAAGTGCGATTAAAGGAAAGTTTGAATAGATTGTTGGGGGTAAATGATGAAATATACCCACCCTGAGGGCTGTTTGGTAACAGATTTAGAGCGGAATTTAAGCTGAATCCAAAATGAAGGTGGATTTGATACATTCAAATTTATGCATAACTTTCTAAATAGTTTTAATGGATTTACTGGATTTACTAAATCTAAATTTACTGGATTTACTAAATTCTAATAACGTAGAATATATCCCTTACGAGATAGCCCCTTTGAAGGAGAAGGGGGGGTGACTGCCCTTCTTAGGTCCACCCATGTTGTTCCTCAATGGGTTGGTTCTGAGTAGCATATTATCACAAAATGCTCCTATTACAGGAACGTTTATATATTACCATGGAAATACAGTAATTAACATATATGCTAAGATGGAGAGAACCAATATCATAATCAATGAATTAAGTAGCTAATAGCTTAGGATGAAGATGAGAAAAAAGGTTTGAGAAGGCGCAGGGAAGAAGATGAGGTCCACAATTAATCATTACTTCGGCGGTTCATTCATTATTCATGCAAGTAATTGCAACATTCAATCAGCACCAAGATGTTGCCAAATTCCCATGCTACAGCAAAGTAAAACAAAAAAAAAAAAAAAAAAGAGAAAATTTGATGAGTCCATTTCATTGAGCTTTATCATCGTGCTGATGCCCATTGCCTTGAATAGCCTGAACATAGAGGTTTGTCTTGCTAAAATTTCAATCCATTTCTGCTACATATCAAAAACCTACCCACAGTTCAAGATCCAAAATAAAACAGCAAAATTCTGAAAACTAATAATAAAACAGGCTATAGATTCACGGAACACAGTTCTAACTGGAACTTACAGGTAGAAACCAGTATCCTCCCTCAGCTAAGATTACGGATTCATGAAACCTAAAAAGTCGTCATTTTTATTTGTGCATCATAACAGATATGAAGGGGAATGAAAAAAAAGAAAAGAAAAGCAAATCTCCTGCAAAAAACCACACCTTAGAATCCCACGCAATTAACCGCAACAGATCTTCAATAGTAGGATCGATGAGCACAGAAGAAGGAATGAAAAGAGCAAATTTTACAGTCCCAACCAAAATAATTTCGTATTGTGAACGTGAGGGCATAATGCCTGTCCTGTTTAACAATGTCAAATTACAAGAAAAACAAGTGAACGTTCAATGCCCCAGACAGTATGCAATCAGCAAACTATGAAGGATGGGCAATTATTCAATGAACAAGAAAACCTAGTTCAACTGATCCAGTCTTCTTGGTTGATGTTTTTTCTAATGTAAGAACACAATCAAGCGAATTGGATGAATTCTTCTCTAACAAAGCAGAAGTGCTGCTATTGCTGGAGCGACAGGTTCTCCGAAACAGGAATTCCATCGACCATGTCAACAGGGTATCTTTCAATGCAATCCTCCCACGGACCTCCTGGGGATTGCTTCACGTCACGCAAAGCCTGCCAAACTGCACTATTGCACTTGAATCCACTCCCAAATGCAATCTGCCACACCCGATGTCCTCTGCGCATCCTCCCTTTGGCCTCAATGTAGGCAAGCTCGTACCAGATTGAGCTGGAAGAAGTGTTGCCAAATCGGTGGAGAGCCATCCTGGAGGCCTCTACATGAATTGGTTGCAGCTGTAGATTTCTCTCGAGCTCGTCGATCACAGACCGACCTCCGGCATGTATGCAGAAGTGTTCGAAGGCGAGCTTAAAATCAGGGATATAAGGTTTACCCTTGGCATTGAACAGTTTCTTGACGAGGGCCGCGAAAAATAGAAGCTGCTCGCTGATAGGGAGGACAAGAGGAGCAAGCGTGGTGATATTGATCTTCAGGGCATCTCCGGCGATTGCCATCAGATCCTTTGAAAGAGAAACCCCGACCTTTCCGTCGTCATCCTGCTCTTGATATACACAGCGGTAGGCCTTGTCATCTGCGCCGCGATGGGTGCGAACAACATGGATGAGGCGGTACTTTGCACGGCGGCGTTCAGCGGAGCGGTTGGAAAGCAGGACGGAAGAGCAGCCGACGCGAAAGAGGCAGTTTGGGATCAGCATAGACTTACGATTCCCAAAGTACCAGTTCTGGGTGATGTTTTCCGTGCTGACGACGACAGCATAGGTATTGCGGTGGACCTGCAGTAGGTCGCGGGCGAGGTCGACAGCGATTACCCCAGCACTGCAGCCCATGCCGCCCAAATTGAAGCTGCGAATATTGACACGAAGCTTATACCGGTTGACGATCATAGCGGAGAGGGAAGGGGTTGGATTAAAGAGGCTACAGTTGACGACGAGGATGCCGATGTCTTTTGGCTTGACGCCAGTGCTGTGGAAGAGTTTGTCGAGAGCGCCGAACATAACCTGTTCCGCCTCAGTGCGGGCGGCGGCCATTGAAGGGCGCGGGGGCAACTCGTGCATGGCCTCCGGGAAATAGGTCTCTTCGCCTAAGCCGGAACGCTCGAGGATCTTTCGCTGGAACTCCAAAGCCGATTCATTGAAGTTGCCACAGAGGCGGGAGTGCTCCATGAACTGTTTGAAGGGAGCTTGAAGCCGGTCGGGTGGGCGATAGCAAGCGTAGTCCACGAGGTAAACTGGGCGGGGTCTTGTCATGATGTAAACAGTGGAGCCGAAGACCAGCATCACGAAGCAGAACAGCACGCTCACGAGATTATACTTCAGATGAAGCCAGAGCTGCAGTAAATCATTTGGATCTGTTCTTCCAGCCTCCACCAGGATCACCACCATGAGCGGGATCAACAGCAGCGTAAGCAGGTGCGTGATCAGGTAGTGGTAACCCAGCTTTACGTACTTAAGGTTAACACTCAGCAAAAAGTCCGGCAGTCGCCGACTGTGCCCGCGGGGCCTCTCCACCGTCTCCCCTCTCATCATCTTCGTTGGTGGAACTGCAGTTGCTCAGGAGTCTTATCTAAAATAGGCGCAGGGGCCGAAGGTGGGGATTATAAATTCTTACACGGTTCTTGGGGCGGCTTGCATATAAATTAATTCGAAGACAAGTTTGTCCCCAGTCTTGAGTTAAATTAAATCCGGTCATCGGTTGAAGACGACTCTGTGAACGTGGGTGGGTTTGGCTTTCCTCATGCCTCCTGTTTCTCAATAGAGTTAAGAGAAGAACATGAAGAAAAGAGAGCGATTATTAGACAACGACAGCAGAACATGCTAAGTCGGGACTCGTATGGTCGTCGCGAGTGTCACGTGCGATGAGAGGATTGAATGAAGGCTTTGCGCCTCGACGGCAGGTGCGGGGATGCGGTGGTGCCTGAGCGCGGAATGATGCGCTACAGAGATGGCTATAGGGACTGAGGAGGTAGATGGAGGTTAGGTATCATTCGTCTCGGTGCTTTATATCCAGTGATTAGCACTTCATTAAAAAATCTAAAAAAACTAAAAAAAAACTCACCGAGTAGGTGGTGGTTGGAGACTCCGAGACGAGATAATAGAACCAATTCAAATCACCTGATAAATAATAACGATTCTATCCAGAATAATTAATTGTCTATCAAATTTAGTGCTGCATATGGAAAGATAAATGCATACAAGCATGGTGTAAACAAGCAGAATTTGTGCGCTTTGGGTTCGTTGGTTTTCGACTAGTTAAAAATGTTAGAAATAGCTTATTAACAATATATTCATATTTAGCCTTTCCAATTAGTCTTCCATTCGGCTAGAATTTAACTTCAAACACCTCATGAGATTAAAAATTATAATTAAATAAGAAATATTAATATTTTTTTAAAAAAATAACTCAATTATTTTACATGAAAGCTGTACAGATTTATTTGCTTTGCAAGGCCTTAGTTTTAGCTTTTATAAGCATATCTCAAACCAATTTTTACTTCATTGACAGTGTGGGACTAAAATGCTTGAGATAACATCTCTGTACATCTATGCGTGATGCCCTTCCCACATTGAACTTGGCTTGTTCCTCTAAGTTTTTTTATTAGGGACATCAAACACATGCCATCCAAATTTTATGTATTTACTTATCTGGCACCTAAGCTTATATTTTTCTTATAAACATACCATCCAAATAATTTTTTAAAATAATAAAATTTTGTATTTATTTAATACATATACAAATTTATATAAAAAGATATAAATAAATATTAATATTTAATTGTTAAATTTTTTCGAGCCAAAATAAACCGAACATGAACGACAATCTTTATTCATTTTCGGCTCATTTATAAATCGAGCTCTAAAAAATTATTCGTGTTCGACTAGCTTACTTAATGAACGAATCGAACACGAGCTACTTAACGAGTCATACGCGAGTTGTTCGTGAACAATGAGTTTTTTTTTACAGCTCTACAGAAACATAGATTTTTTTTTTTGTAACCTAAGTACAAAAATTAATACGTTAAATCAAACCCACTTGTTGAAGTGGCTGAATTGAACCGTCAAAGTGTTGAATCTCATCTTTCTCAAGGAAGTGACCTAGCCCAATTAGAGATGAAATACTATTAGGGAGCATCATCATTACTATCAAAGAATATGTTCATCTTCCTTTAAAGGTGTTGCCTAACATCCACGTCACGATCTTTTCATCAAGATGTTACGGATGAGTGTCGTATTATACTAAGTGTATTTTCTATTACTTTCTCCTTTTGTAGAAAAGAGAAGTTAAGAAGAGAGAAGATGATCCTAGGTCTTTTTCCAAAGTCTCACTCTTTCTCTCTAACACTATAATTCGAGAAACCTCTTCTAAGTATTTTTTTTCATTTTGTCAAGGCTCAAGCTCAAGTCACAATCCCTAAGACATTCTTTTAAATTTCATTAAATTTCACCTCCATCCTCTCTCTCTCTCTCTCTCTTCTACTTTTCTTCTAGGAATACAAGTTATTTACTGAACTGTATGTACTAATGAGGGATACGGGAGATCCTATGTCCTGAAAGAATTGAACATTCTGAAAGATACGGCGAGCATGAAATTCAAACCCAAACTTTATTAGAAGATTTTTCTCGTATAAAGAAAGACTAAAGAGAAAGATAGATTGCAATATAGATTTTGTGGTGCAATAGATCAACGAGCTAAGTAAACAAGTCTTGAAAGTTGTATAAGATTTAAAAGAAGCTTCTAGTTCTTGTTCTCGAATCGAGCCCAAAGCTAACATTTGATCATCAGGATCATTGGCTCGTAGGCAAGAGTTGGCTGTGCAGAATTTACAGAGAGTCGGAATAAGTAGAGCTCTTGGCTCAATCTTCAAACGAAAATAAGCTAAAAGAGATGATCTTCATTATTCAAAGGAAGAAGAGCTTGTTGCAGCCTTGACCGGAGAAAAGAGAAGAAGAAGGAGAAGAGTTACTCCTGGGTGTTCAAATGAAGTAGCAAGGAGATAAAGAAGAATATAAGACCGACAGAGAATGCATTCTCAAGGAAGATCACAGAAGCTTAGGTACCGAGGAAGTTTAAGATTCCATTTTTTTAATCTTAAAAAGGGAAATCCAACCCCATTGACCATGTATCTTCATTTGAGTTGATCATTTATTTCCTCAAAATAAAGTGTCATTTTTGTATGACTTTAAAAAAATCAACCTCATGATGGTTCAACAACTTGCTAGTATGAGTCATTGACATGTAATATAGCATATTAATTTTTCTTTTATATTTAGCAATTATTTTGTATGAAATTGCAATTTAAAGAAATGTATTTTTATGTTTTTGTTACAAGTATAACATGTAAGATAATTAGAGCAAATTGGAGCAAAAAACAAACCGAAAAGGAGGTGAATGGAGCAAATAGTGAACTTACTCATAGGCGCCACTCCATTGTGCCATGGCACTGTATACGGGTGCTTAGTCGCCAGACTGCATCCAGTAACCCAAGCAAGTGGTGTCATGGTGTCACATACTGACGCTTAGGCACCAGTTAAATTCCAGGCCAAACCGAGCAAGTGGCGCCTAGGCGTCAAATCTGTACTGGACACTCTTCGCAGCAGTTGTGCACAAAAATGGGGGGTAATTCCTATGTGAAGAAGACCAGAGAGGAGGAGAACATTTTTGAAGAAGTTAGGAGAAAGCATAGAAGTGTAGGAAAGGAGACGAGCGATCTATATTGTTTATTTTTTTTTGTATTTCCTTAGAGAGATTTGAGAGATATTGCAAGGGTTTGCTGTAAACATTGCATGGAAGGCTTGGAGATCACTTGGGAGGAGTTTTCACTTCTTTTCTTAGAGAGAAAGATAAGTGTTTTATTTCATTTTCTCTTGTATTAGTGTAAACTCATCTTGTATGACTTTGCTTTCTTATAAGATGATAGATTATTGTGTTGTGTTTATTCCACTCATTGTGAGTAAATTCTTTGTACTTTCCTCTTGTGATGAATTGATAGTATGTGTATGGATGTGGATACATTTAGAATGAGTTTTTATTTATTATTATGTTGTTTTTTTTTCCTTTTTTTTTTCCTTCAGCTTCATTTATATATCAATATGACCATTTGGTGTGTTAAAATATGTTGTGAGTTCATATATATCCGAGAGGGTTATGGCTTTAACAGTTACTAGAAACCACATTGTTGTATAGAGTGAAGAAAAAGTAATCCGTATATAAGTGCAAATAAATTGGGAGATAAATTTAATAGGAGTAACTTGGAGTTTTCTAAGGTGACAGACAGAAACACATACCTAGTTAAACCTAACTTCTTTACACAATCGGAAGAGGGTAAAGAAAATGAATGCTTCTATTTGACATAATTTCAAATATAAATTCTAAGTGTTCTACTCCTACATAAATTACTTCTTTCATTGCAAGGGGATGATATTTTTCATAGCTTGATTTTTCTTTACTTATTTAACTTTAATAAAATTAGCTTTCTAGTAAACTTATAGGTTTATTGATGATTTTGGTAAAATTCACTAGCACAATTTAAATCTAACTTATTTCGAGACTAAGACTTTTTATATTTAGTTAGAACTTTTCTTAAGTTTTTAAATTAACAATATTTCCTTTGGGATCAATACAAGGACTAAAGAAAATCCTACATCACTTTAACAATACATGCACTTGCGTAAAATACCTAGTGTGTAGTGTTAAACTGTGGAAAAACTCTAGTTATAAGATTTATAAAGGAAATTTTAGATTTAAAATATTTCATTCTTAAACACTAGGAATACCGAAGGTCGGTCAGTCATCACCTTTTTTAAAGGGTTTAGGTGCATGTTTGTGGTCAAAACAGTGAAAATCCCAAAGATCAAGAAAAAGCTACATTTCGGACGCCTTGGGGCTTGGTCTGGGGTCAAAACGGTGAAAATTCTGAGAAAAAGTAGGAGCAGAAAATGAACTGAAACCTAGGTGTCATGACCCTTGCGCATAGGCATTGTGGTCTGACACCCAGAAGCTTGGGGCTGGTGGTTAGGCGTTGTCCCCTCCGACGCTTACTTTCTACGCTCTCGGTTTTGAGCCCTTTCAAGCTGTTTCGGGCACCTAGGCGCACAAGACTAGCACTTAGGCCCTAGGGGGCTAACACTTACTTTTCAGGTTCATGGTTTGGAGAGCCTGGGGCCTCTTATGGGCGCCTAGGTGCCGATCTAGCCCTGAAAACCTTAATTTCCACCAAAAAGTTTGAAGAAAGAAAGTTTCAATTCATAAAGTTTGTGAGAGTGTGTATGAATAAAATAAGGTCCCACAAACTCAAAGAGATGAATGTTATGGGCATTACATCGAGGATTTCAGTGTTGACGGTCACCCCAAATTCTGTGCGGGTAGGGTATTCTAAACCCTAATCTTTCTAGAAATGCCCATGGGAAGTTTTGGTGTATTCCTTTTGACCACATGAGGCTCTAGATCTATGGGGTATGACTTCTAAGCACCAAAACGGGCATTAAACATGCCCCATTTCATAACTGACGCTATCCAATGACGGACTCTCTCAGACAGGATTGAATCATAACAAACCCTGATTTTGTGCCTCATGCGTATCTGGGGAGTCTAGATGTATGTCTTGAGCTTCAGAACACTATGAATGAATAATAAATAGTCCCGAGTCATTCAAGTGAACATTCTACACGTGTAACAGCAATATTTGATACCAACAATTTTCACACTAACAAGGCCTGTCAGGCCTAATTTTTCATAAAAGGGCAATAACACATCAATTTCAAGAATATATCAGGCACCTGTCAAATTGATAAATTAGTATTCACAAAGATAGCTCATGATCCATGACAAAAACATCCTCAGGGCATAAAAAAGTAGAGTAAAATTACGAGTGATCGTACAATCTCAATACTGCCTGAATTCCCTTCAAACAAAATGTTTAAGTGTTGAAAGCCTAATTCAACATCG